CCAAGACAGATTGATCAAAGAAAAATTGTGTCCTTAATTCAAATACTACCACCCGTTAAAAGACTATAAAAAGTCACACATAAAAACAAAAAGGGGAAAGCCTTTCTTCACCAGTCGAAACAACGTGTCTGCCTTTTCTTTTTGTATACTTAATGCTGTGTTGAATTTATCACCCACACGTCTTTCACGTTTATATTTCAATTTCCTTGATAACGAAAGAGAGAAGGTTAAATATCAATTTTGGTCTTTTAATTTTAAAGTTTTATATAATTTTTATTATTTTTATTTTTTATGTATTTTTTTGATTCATTGACTATGAATAATATGTTTTTTTAAGCTTTTAATTAGTTAATTTGTTAATTTTGTCTAAATATGCATATTTTTAGTCCCTCAATTTTAAGTTAAGGAATAAAAAATATGTATGTCTTAAAAATTGAGGGATTAAAAATGTGTAGATTTAGATAGACTTAATGAATTAATTAATGAAAAGACAAAAAATGTACATTTTTCATAGTTAAGAGACCAAAAAAATATATAAAAAATTAAGAGATGAAAATTATACAAAAATTTAAAGTTGAGGGATTAAAATTAGTATTTAACCAAGAAAAAATTATAGGACTTTTAATGAAGGATTCAATTAATAAGGGAAAGTTAAGAAATTCGATAAATAATATTAGGAAACTTTAGTAGTTTAATAGGAATAAAACTGAAAAAAAAAACTATTTAAGAGTAAGAATTCACTTACATACTGTAGTTATACAAAATCTTAATTATTCATCTTTATATTTTTAATGATTGAAATTCATTTATATTCATTTATATTTATAAAAAATAATTACTTTTCTATTTAAAAAGTCATAGTAAATTTGAATTATTGAAAATTGAGAAATAAATGGTTAAAATTTTATATAAATATAGTATGTAAAACTTATATATAAATAAATCCCTTCTCTTTATTTAAATAGAAATTAATAAGTAAATTAAAATTAACACTCATTTAGTCATTTAAAAAAAATGATTGAGAGATAATTTCTTAATACATTTTTTTATATAATTTTACATATTATTTAATAATTGTTTTTTTCATTCTATCTAAACTGATAACATTATATATATTTATTTACTAACATAAAAATTATTTTAAAAAAATTATGCAAAAAAATTATCTAAAAAAATTATCTATATACCTCTATATACCTTTAGTATTTTTACCTTTATTATGCAAAAAGAAGAGAGACCCTTATGCTCCCATTAGTAAAAAATTGGTTAAAACCCCTTTTTGGTCCCTGGACTATTGTACGGACCCCCGATTTGGTCCCTGAACTAAAAAAATC